CACACACACCTGCACACACACACACCTGCACACACACACACACCTGTACACACACACACACCTGCACATACACCTGCACACACCTGGATGCTGCAGTCAGAACCGGTCCGGGTCAAGATGTGAATCAAACCTTCAGGTGTTTTTTTATTATTATTAATTAGAATAAATTTCATGCTTCCGGTCTGAATCCAGAACCTGATCCGAACCCGCAGCACCTGGATCAGGATGGATCAGACCCTGCAGGTTCCGCTGACCCCCAGGTCGGTTCTGGTGGTCMCCGCGGTCCTGCTGGTCTCCCTGTGGTTCTGGCTCCGGCGGCAGACGTCGGTTCCGGGTCTGCCGGGACCCTTCTCCTGGCCCCTGATCGGGAACGCGGCGCAGCTCGGGAACGCGCCGCACCTGTTCTTCGCGCGCATGGTCCGCKGGTACGGGAACGTGTTCCAGATCCGGCTGGGCAGCCGGACCGTGGTGGTCCTGAACGGGACCGCCATCAGGCAGGCCCTCATCAAGCAGGGTCTGGACTTCGCGGGCAGACCGGACTTCACGTCCTTCCGGTTCGTCGCGGACGGGGACAGCATCGCCTTCGGGACCGTGACGGACCAGTGGAAGACGCACCGGCGCGTGGCCCAGTCCACGGTCCGGATGTTCTCCACGGGGAACCCGCGGACCAAGAGGACCTTCGAGCGGCACGTGCTGTGCGAGTTCAGGGAGATGCTGCGGCTGTTCGTGGACCGGACCCGGACCGAGCGCTTCTTCCAGCCCATGACGCACCTGGTGGTCTCCACGGCCAACGTCATGAGCGCGGTCTGCTTCGGGAAGAGGTACTCCCACCAGGACGATGAGTTCCGGGACGTGGTGGGTCGGAACTACCAGTTCACGCAGACCGTGGGGGCCGGCAGCATCGTGGACGTCATGCCCTGGCTCCAGTACTTCCCGAACCCCATCAAGACCATCTTCGAGGACTTCAAGAAGCTGAACCAGGACTTCAGCGTCTTCATCAGGGACAAGGTCCAGGAGCACAGGAAGACCCTGGAGTCCAGCGCCATCAGGGACATCACGGACGCCTTCATCGTGGCTTTGGACCAGATCCGGGACCGGACGGATGTCCCGGCAGCCAAGGACTACGTGACTCCGGCCATCGGGGACATTTTTGGCGCGAGTCAGGACACCCTGTCCACGGCCCTGCAGTGGATCGTCCTGATCCTGGTCAAGTAAGACTCACACTCTGCAAGTCCGCCTCTCACACCAGGTTCAGACTTTATGGACCTGGACTCCTGGACCCTCAGGGTCTGAGTTAGAGAGGACTCTCAGCTAAAACTACCTTTATCTGAATCCATAATAATMATTATAATTAATTATAATTATCTAATCATTTCTAATCATCGTTTCTAATCATCAAATATCAATAAAATCCCTTCAGTGGTCCCTCAGATATTTTGCTAACAGACACAC